ATATATTTATTATACAATTATATAAATAATTTATTATAAAAAAATTCATTAAAAAATATATAATTATTATACAATTAGTAGTAGTAGTAGTAAATATAAAGTAAAAAGAACAGCCATATTCTTAAATATTTCTTCCTTAAAAATAAAAATAATAATAAAATTAATGATTAAAAAAGAACACTTCATATGGATTTAGAATTAGATAATAGAATTAGTCTATTGACACCAGATTTTTTTGGCCGAACTCTCCCTTTAACAGTGGCTGGAGGGCATGTGAGCATGTCACAATGAAGATTGCAGCCGTATGGTGGCCCGAGCTCCAGATGGAGTGTGCGCTACAAAGGAGAAGCCTGTTCTCATCAAAGGCTAATGTGAAGTTTTAATCAAACACCATCCGAACGCCAGACAAAACACTGAAAGGATGGAACGGACGGGTCAAATGCAGTTCAAACAGCCACTCAAAGGCTTCCTAAAATTGCCGCCAACTTCAAACGCACCAGCAAATCACTTTCTCCATGGCGGGATTCAGAGCCAATTTTAAGCTAATCGCATTGGGAAACCCTGCAGCTCTACCAACCATGACGAAGGTACAAAAATCACCAGAATTTGCTATGACACACAAAACAAGCTAGTGCTAGACATGCAAAGTTAGTGGAAAAATAACACGCTCAGTCACGTTTTTGCCAAATGGCTTTAGCAAAGTAAATAAGCTGATATACTGTGCAAGTCTTTTATTTTTGTTCATTTCAGTGCTGAAAAAAGCCAAATGGAAGTTCGACTTGTTTGTCGAAAGCATGGGAAAACCACATATTTAAAAGAAGCAGTCCTTATATAGTTTATATTAATCACATAAACCTAGGCTGGTTTGCTGGTCTAAGCTGGTCTAAGCCATGTGATCTCCTGGCCTGGTCAAGCATGTTTGTTAGCTGGATTTAGAGGGGTTTTTCCAGTGACAATTCTCAACTGGTCAGGCTGGGAGACCAGATTAAAGCTAAAATCAACCGACCTGTTTAGGCTGGATTAAGCAGTTTTTGTTATTTTAAATTTTTTTTCTTAACAGGGAAATCAGATTTTCATGGACCTTTTGAAGTAAGAGTCTCTCTCTCTCTCTCTCTCTCTCTCTCTCTCTCTCTCTCTCTATATATATATATATATATATATATATACTTGAAAATACAGCAATGTTTTAAAATATGTAATTGATTAGAAGTCACTATTAATTAGTTTTATATATTTTTAAATACTTGTTTTATAATTTGCTGTACATAAGCAATAATTAAAAGACAACTAATACACTGTTTAATTTGTGAATTTCCTATTAAAATATAGAATTTGTGTGTTTAAAATAAAAAATATGTAACTGATTAGAAGAGAAGTCATTATTATTTATTCACTATATTTTATATAATTTTATATATTTTTTATTTATTTGATTTATGAGTCATTTCTTTTCATAATTTTCTGTACATGAGCAATATTAATATACTCCTCAATGTTTGTATTTACAACAAAATGCACTTAAAATATTCATATTTTAAATAATGTACCTTTAGAAGTCACTATTGTTTCATTTGATTCTTTTTCATACTTTTTAGTTTAATCTATTTGATTTATAATTTTTCCTTTATAATTTGCTGAACATAAGCAATATTTCAAATACATTAATACACTGTTGAATATGTGAATTTACTATTAAAATATATAATTTGTGTATTTACAAAAAAAATAGGTAACTGATTTGAAGTCATTATGGTTTCATCACTATATTTTTATATAATTTTAAATTTTTTATTTATTTGATTTATGAGTGATTTTTATATCATTTGCTGTACATAAGACATTTTTATACTCTTCAATGTGTGCATTTACTGTAAAATAAAAGTAATTTTTTTAAATGATCTAACTGTTTAGAAGTCACTATTGTTTAATTGTATTCTATTTTATACTTTTAAGTTTAATCTATTTGATTCATAATGTTTATTTAATAATTTGCTCTACATAAGCAATATCTCAATATTAGTGATTCTAATCCCCATTTCTACAAGGCCTCAATTTTCCAATTCTCATAACTCATAATTGGGAACCAAGTATCAATGTGCGTAAAATAAAATGCTAATATGACTGTCAACTGCCCTTTAAAACATAAATGGCACTGTGGTAAAAATACACCGCAAGTCACAGATCCAATGCAGAACATCTGTACTCTTACCAGCGATGACAGTTTGAGAACATCTAAAACGACATTAATTACATTCCTGACAGCTGAATCAGCAAGTGGGATCAATGTGACATTCAAAGTTTAGCCCTCTGCAAAATTCACACACCTCTAGCATCTCACATTAGAGGCCAAGCATGAAGTGTGTCGACGGTCATGACAGGTTACCGCCCGCTGATCTTATTATGTTGTCTTCAGCTCTGGAATGACAGCGAGAGGACTTTGCTTATTCAGTCAGAAATTAATCATAATAAGACAGTCTTTGTTTCTAATTTTTTAATATTTGACTACTTCAAAACTTCTTCAAACTATGTTTCATCTGTGTTATAAGATTCATCATAAGTGTAAAGTTAAAGACTATGGTTTATTTTTATTCTGTGTGGCAAATAACCTTCTAACAGTCTTTAAAAAAAGCAATTAAAGAGACACAAAACAAAACTATATAATCTATCTTTTAAAACCAGATTATTAAAAAACACAATGCATGTTGCTTCAATCCTATCTAAACTGTTTGCTGAAGGCTTCTTCATACCTGTCTATGAAAATAAGCTGAATTCTGTGGCTTTATTAAGTTTTCTCTTTGATGCATATTAATGAGTATTTTCACTGTACGTTTCAGTTATAAAAGAGAAACTTTTTGTTGTTGAAATGTGAATAAACATCACAGCAAATGAGCCTCTCTTTTCGGCTAAGCCGTCAGTGGGAAAGTCATAAAGTGGCTTATCTCTCTGAGTTCAGAGATTTTCTCTTATGTAATTTTTGTATCTTATTGTCTTGCACATTTGCAAAGAGTCGTTCTTCGGCAAGTCCGTCGAAGCACTTAAGGTTGCTTTTATGAGTAATATACATTTTTAGCTATTTTGTAAATGAATGGTCCACTAGGCTGATTGGATCAAATCAAGGGTGGACAAACTCCTCGCCCTATTTTTCAATCTGCTTCCTCCTCTCTCTTTTTTCCTTCTATTAGAGATGGTGAAAGATTGCCTTATCTCCCTCAAAGGCATGGAAAGCCGCCTTGCGTGAAAGTGCCAGGATTCAAAATTCAAAGTAGTGATTAATGTGGTCGTCCTCCTCATAGACTGTGAAAATTAGCTCCCGGCTCTATTGAACGTGACACTGCACTCGGGAAGAATCCTCACAAACTGTAAATACGGCTTAGTCATGTGTGCTCGTCTACGAGCTCCATTCCCCTCATGGATTCAGCTGACACACCTGGGAATTTAATATTCAGTGCAGCTGAAGACTTTCAGGCAAAAGCTTCGAAATTAACACCTTGAGCCTAACACGCCTAAGAGCCAAATATGAGTAAAGGCATATTTCTTTGTTCTCAGTGAGTTCATTTGGACAATTTATGAACAGGTTCAAAAAAGAATCAGATTAATGTAAATTCCTTTCATTTTTTTTTCAAAATCAATCTTTATTCAAGAAGAATATTTAGATGAATGCTGGTGTCCATTTGTTTTGTATGTATATATTTCTATCATGACAACGCTTGGAAGATTTTAGCATGGTAATTGATTTAACAATGTTAATGTATTTGGCGCAATAGATCTGCTACGCTGCTGCTGCTGTTGGTTATTGCTGTAGTTGTAGATTATTGCTGCTGCAATTACAGGAACTTACTGCCAATGCATATGGCGATACAGTGCTGTGAGTATTTAAGACAATCTGCTGCTGCACAAATAGCTGATGAAATAAATCGTAGCAGATCTAGACAGGTGGAGCTGGGGAAGGTGGAGGGTTTCAGAGGGACTCTGAAAGCGCGGCGCAAAATGCTCAAGTGGATGCTAACCAGCCATTTAAATGTAAAGCAGCAAGCTTGTTGGCTGTGTATGCAACATGAACCAATCAGCTTGTGTGTTTAACGCTGTGAATATCATCAGTTACGCCAAAATAAAAGTTTTTCTTTACATAATATATGTGTGCGTGCTGTGTATATTTATTATGTATATATAAATGCAAACACATTCAGTATATATTTTAAATAATTTATATGTATTTACATGTATATATTTATATTCTTATTATATTATATATAAATAATGTGTTTGTATTTATATATACATAATAAATATACGCAGTGTGCACACATATATTATGTGAACAAAAACTTTTATTTTGGATGTGATTAATCGCTATTAATTGTTTGACAGCACTACTTTTTATATAATACATGTGTGTGTGTGTGTGTGTCTTTATATATACATGATAAATATACACCGTACACACACATATATTATATAAACAAAAAAACATTTTGGATGTGATTAATCGCGATTAATCGTTGCCCAGCACTATATACACATATGAACACAAAATTATGGAAAAAAATAATACAAATTTTAATAACTTTTTTGCATTTACTGTAAATATTATATTATATATAATATATATGAAGTATAGGAAAATACTTTACAACTTTTTTAGTGCTGTCAAACGATTAATCGCAATTAATCACATCCAAAATAAAAGTTTTTCTTTACATAATATATGTATGTGTACTGTATATATTTTTTATGTATATATAAATGCACACACATGCATGTATATATTTCAGAAAAATATGTTATGACACACACACACACACACACACACACACACACACACACGTTTCCCCTTGTATTTATTGCATTTGCATTTTATATATTTATCTCATATAGGGGTGACCTGCTCTGTTAGGCACTAATGTGGAAGGCACAATACAATGCAATGGTGACAAAACTATATATTTGGGGCAAAAATATCATTTTGGACTCTGCTCACATGGTACTGGTGCTTCTCTTACCTTCTGCTGTTTGTTTTTTGTTTTTTTGGATGCAATCCCAGTTGTCCACTTCCTCATATTCGTCATCATAAAGGTGATGCACCTTGAGAGAGAAGATGATTATGGGTTAATTATCACTTTATCAGAGGCAGAGACATGACGTCTTGCTATGAAGTATGACCACTAAATAGCTTCCTAATTATGATTAATCACTCTGAGATGACACACAGATTTCATATTCATTCATCCAGGTTAAGAAAGACAGTTTCAATTAGCTTTTTTAGGACAGAACCACACTTTTACTTTAACTATATATTCTGATTAAATTAACTTGGAAACTTTTGGTTCTTTTGGGAATAATGAAGAAATAGTGCTGCATGCTAAAGCCTATCACCAGTGAACAAACAATTAACTCTAAGGCCAGATATATACTCTCCTCAAATAAGCAAATTTGTGCTGTATGTAATTTTATGATCTTACTAAAGCATAAAAAATTACCATAATATATTTGCAGATATTTTGGAAACATGCTAAGCTCACATATTTGTTTCTGTGAAAAACAATGCTACAGCCAGTTATTTGGCTTTAAAATGTGTGATCTGTGTCGAAATGTCTGTTTTTGTTTTGGTCTGTGTGACTCCACCCACTGCCAATTTATCCAATAGTGTTTTGACACCCTGGGCTGCCAGTTATTGGAAAACAGTGTATTGCAGCAATGGAAGCCAGAGATCAGAGATCGCAGATTCTACCGGACCTAAAGCCTGGGCGACTATCTAAAAAACTCAATGACCAGAGACATTAAAATGCAAATAAATCGACTCATCAACTTACAACGTAAGGCTTCACGTAATCACCTTCCATTGTCTGTGCTCATTTCTGTTGCATGTCCACAATCTGGCAACCCATGTGAGCATTAAAAAAGGTCTGAACAAGAAAAAGGTCAGAATTGCAATTTCATATCTCGCAATCTTGACTTTAAAACTCTCAATTGCAAATTTATATCTCGCAATTCTGAAAAAAAAGAAGTCAGAATTGCAATTTATAAACTCATATCTGCACATAAACAACATTTGCGAGAAAAAAAAGTCAGAATTGTGAGATTTACTTTAGTCTATGGATCAGAGATATCAGAAGCATCAACGTGTTAGCACAGTTCATGTTTCAGCCATTCACGGATGTATGTGAGGTTATCTGACTTGTTTCCTATCGATTACGGCACTCTAAATCCCAAGAGAGGATCTTAAGCATGTGAACTCTTCAATAATGAGTCAAGCTAATGAAGCAGACAGGGAGGCATGATGTTTGTGTTGTCTGAGCTAATTAGTTACCTGTTGCCTATGCCGTTAGCAGCAGTAGCCTCCACAAGTACAGTTTTACAATTTCTAAAGGAAATGTCAGTGGTGTTTGCCACGCAAAAAGTTGCCAACCAGAATACTCGTGTTGTGAGCGGCTGGTTGAGCGTTGCTATGTGGTTGCTATCAAGTTGCTAAGGTGTTCCAAATGGTTTTCATGGAGTTGCTATGAAAATGTTCTTCTGAGTGTATATTAATGTGTTACTATGCAGTTGCTAAGGTGTTCAAAATGGTTTCCATGGCGTTGCTGTGAAAACGTTTTTCTGAGTGTTTATTAGGGTGTTGCTATGCAGTTACTAAGGTGTTCCAAATGGTTTCCATGGCATTGCTATGAAAACATTGTTCTGAGTGTTTATTAGGGTGTTGCTATGCAGTTACTAAGGTGTTCCAAATGGTTTCCATGGCATTGCTATGAAAACATTGTTCTGAGTGTTTATTAGGGTGTTGCTATGCAGTTGCTAAGGTGTTCCAAATGGTTTTCATGGCATTGCTATGAAAACATTGTTCTGAGTGTTTATTAGGGTGTTGCTATGCAGTTGCTAAGGTGTTCCAAATGGTTTTCATGGCATTGCTATGAAAACATTGTTCTGAGTGTTTATTAGGGTGTTGCTATGCAGTTGCTAAGGTGTTCTAAATGGTTTTCATGGCATTGCTATATGGTTGCTAAGGTGCTGAGTGTCTATTAGGGTGTTGCTATGCAGTTGCTAGGGTGTTCAAAATGGTTTCCGTGGCATTAAAGTCTTCAGAATGTGTTCATGCTATTTCTATGTGGTTACTAAGGTGTTCTAAATGTTTATTAGGGCGTTGCTATGCAGTTGCTAAGGTGTTCTAAACATTTCTGGGTTTTCTGGGTGCTGTTCTGCGGTCACTAATGCATTTTCATGTAATTAATACGTTTATCTGAGTGTTTTTAGGACAATTACTAAGCAGTTGCTAAGGTGTTATGAATGTTTTTTAGAGCATTGTTATGTGGTTGCTAAGGTGTTCTGAGTTTTTTTAGGGTGTTGATATGCAGGTGCTAGAGTGTTCTAGTGGGTTCCAAGTCAAAGAATCTCCATGACATTTTTGTTACTATAACTCGGTCCCTCCTCCAATGAAAGTATGTGTTTTTTTTTTTTAATCCGTCAAGTAAAAAATCATCAGGTGTCATTCGTGTCCATAACCACAAGGGGCACCATCAGGATTTACTCTTGGGTTACAGAAACCAGATCAAGCACCAGCCTAAAAATTCACAAAATATTTCTTAATATAATGCAATATTCAGGAAGCCAAACACGCAGACTATATGATATGAACTTAGCATGGCTCCAAAAATCTGTTTACGACAGCATCATTAATTTGTGGAACTTGTTATCTCAGTCACATATGGTTGGAGCCGAGACACACTCAAATGCGCACTCAAACAAGCCTATATGCACATATATTATGCAAAATAAAGGAAGAACAAAGTAAACAGACACTATAGGTGACAGGAAGGACTTCATTAGGGAGGGATTTCTGCTGAGCTGACAGAGACACCCTGCTCTCTCTCATTCTCTCTCTCGCTGTTTTAAACACACACACACACACACACACACTCTTATGCTTCCACACATATAGGTCTTTAAAGCATTTAAAAGCAGGACACTCTAATAAAATGTTTTAATGATGGCCAAAAAGTCTCGCTGACTAAGTAGGCAGA